GAACAGAACATCTCCAAATTTGGTATGAATTTAACATGCTATCAAAAAACAAAGGGAAAAGGTCACAGTTTTTATTTTTACGACAAACCAAAGACTGCCTAAAGCTGACTGACAGCAGTTTCTATTGGTTGGTTTAGTTTTAGACTGTCTGTCACAGCATCTCTGGCAAGTCAAACGTTCATAGTCAAACGAAGTCAGACGAACAGAAGAGTGAGATACGACAGACACCTAAATGTTACTTCAGCTTAGTTACTTTAGGACAAAATTAGACATCAAACTTTATTTTTTCAAAGGTAAGGAACGGATTATGGTTTTACTCTGATCTGATACTTTACCCGGAAGTAAAAAATATTCTGCATTAACAATGCAGTCAGCTTTCGTAGTGCTCACAAAGTCATATGAACGAAACGTAATATTCCATTTAGCGAGTTAGTTTAGAGAATACACTCTTGTATCTAAGTGAAACAGATTTCATTTAGACAATACTCCAGTTTCGAATTCTCCAATGCTCTGTGTTAGCCTCATTTGTGCGCAAATTATTCCTTATTGTGAGCGTAAAAGTGCATTGAGATTTCAAATCAAATTTATTGTCTTTCTTCACAAATTCCATGCGTTTTCTCGAGCTATCAATGAAACAAAAGAATATGTTACTTGGTTTTGAGGCTAACACAGAGCAAACCAGAACTCGAAATTGGAGTATTTAAGTTCCACAACAGATGCTTCTACTTTGATATGGAGTTCTATTACAAGCTCTCTAATATTTCGAACCCATGAGTAGTTAAGGTTAGTAGTATTATCGATATGTGGTTGCTGAAACCCACCAAAAAGCCATTCCGTTTATGTTTTGCAATTGGTAGCTTCAGCGTCAAGGGTAACTTTGCCTGATAAATTTTCACTTTATTTTACTTCACATTCTCCAAAAGATTAACAAGAATTAAAATCGCAATAGAATGATCGCCAGGTCTCCAGGTTAGGGCGGCTAGTTACCAGCAGAAACTGAAATCTTGGCATACATGATTCACAATATTAATCATCGCTTAATTATTTTCGCTATAACAGAAACTAAAGATGGCTACTGGATGGTCAACAATTACAAAAGAAAACACCAACTTTGCTCGATTGTGCAAATTACTCATCGATGGAGGAACTCATGCCCTTAGAGTCATTTTTGATGCCAAAYATCCACCTCACGATCTAAAGAAACATTTGATGGACAGCAGGATTCATAATATCTTAAAGAATTTGAAGGCTAAAAAWMTTCTACGRYCRGAGCAGTGGAACAGACTGTATCCAAGTGTAGGATCGGCAACATCTGCAGGTTTTGATATAACTCTTTTAAGTTTGCTGTTGCGCAATATCTGCAATTTGCCAACACCAGTTAAAGGATGGGACGAAGAGCCCGCTACAGSAAGTRYTAACGTGGAAGACGATGTAGTAAGGCTGAGATTATACCGTAATARTCTGTATGGTCACATCTCTGAACCAGCTCTATCAGACTCTGATTTCAACAAGCACTGGAACGACATTGAAACTGTTTTGTTAAGACATGGTGTAAACAAGTCAAMCATTGATAGTCTAAAGRCACAATCCTTCGAACAAGAAGATAAAGACTACTACATCAAATGCTTAAAAGAATGGATCACTGATGAGGCTGATAGAGTAATCGATGCAGTGAAGGAATCAGAAAAGAGAGTGCTGGAAAAAGTTGATAAAATGGAGCAGAAGCTAGACCAACTTAGTCCAGAGCGATCTTCAAGTCGACCAACAACATCTAAAGGTATGACAGTATCATCAAGTCTTTTCTCGGTTTTCTCAATCATGCACTGGCAACCCCGACAAAACAGTTTTAATTTGGTGTATATATATAAACAGAATACTACATTTTTTATTCAAAAGATCTTTKTTGGTTGTATTTTTCATATTTACAAGTATTTTGGTAAATCAACCATGAATAATATTAACAATTTATTCCCAGCTTTCGACCTAAAGACTGTACGGTAATACGAGCAGCAAAATCATACATCAACTTGCCTCGCTACATTGCTGCAAAGCAAGTTGGAAAGCGATGTTGCGCGTTTTACTAGTGGCAAAACAACTTTTTTCGCAGCAAATTTTTTTGTTGCAAGTTGAAAAAGTTTGCTGCAGAAAGTAGAAGATGGTTCTACTTTTTGCAAACAAAACAAGAAGATGTTGCCCGTATTACCACATCCACCCCGATAATCAGCTGACTGATAAATATTGCGCAGTCCCTAATGAACAAAACAATTTTTAAACTTCAGATGAAAGTATGGATTATATTCTTTAAATTCACAATTAAGGTAATAATTTTCTCGCTTTCTGAATGGTTGCATAAATTTTCAATAAAAAAATAGAAGAACAGAGAAAGAAATAAAAAATAAAAAAGAACGAAAACACCTGAAAATCACGGCCGAGTGTATATACATCTACTTATAAAGCGTCACAAMTAATCAGAAATCAAGGAGATTTTACATTAATTTTGTAGTAAAAATGAGTTTCGTCTTCTGGAGTACTTGCACCCGTTTATAGATAACTCATTGCGTACTTTCGCGCGGCCAGTAATTAATTTTCTTTAAATAGTTTTGTCTAGCTAAACACCATCTAGAGCATGCAGTCACACTGTAAATAATATAGTTAGATTAATGTTATTTCTTTTCTTTACAGATGCGGAACTTTACTGCGAAAAACTAAAAAAAGCCATAATAACCCAAACGGACGATCTACAACCAAAAGGAATGATCCATGCATCAATGAAGACCGACGATATTTTCACTAATGTGGTTGTTCACCTCGGAAAGGAAAGATGTCCAGAACAAATTCAAAGCAGACAGCACCCTGTAGGTCGTAAAACGCTGACCGAAATCAAGGACTGCAGTGAAATTTTTGTTCACAAAGATGAAAACTTGAGTTTCCTCCAAAGTTTGTGGGAAAAAATTCGAAAGCTTCAAAAAAAGAATCCTAAAAGAATAATAGTTTCTGGGGAACCAGGAATAGGAAAGACCTTGTTTTCGCAAAAACTTGTTAGAGATTTGGCCAAGAACTCCACATCAATCCCTGACGTTAAGTTTACTTACCTGATTCCCTTCAGATTATTAAACTCACTCGACAAAGACCTCAGTCTCCAAGAGTTGCTTAATCTCTCACCTTTGCTCAACGAAGCCACAATGATAGACGACGCACTGATGGAGTACTTCTCTCAGCATTCAGAGAAGTTATTCATTATCCTCGATGGCTTTGACGAATATAAAAACCGCGACAAAATACTCGCAGATGATGAAGGGCCCAATGATAGTAAAGCCAAGATGCCAGTAACAGCCCTTGTCAGCAAACTAATCCAGAAAAAAATCTTGAGTGATTCCGTAATCACGGTAACCTCAAGACCGGTCGAAGCCGACGAGCTGGATCAAAAAATCCACTTTGATMGCTATGTGGAGATTTCAGGATTCTCAGAACAACAGGTTATTGAATTTGTTGARAAATATTTYAGTACAAAACCAGAAGAAGTAAAAAACATGGCACTTCGCAAGGTTAAAGAAAGCGCGCACTACATTTCATTTGGTCGCGTTCCTTTCCGTTGTTTGTTGATGTGTGTGTTCATCGAGTGGAAAATCAAAAAAACACGATAATTCATGTCCTCTCACACTTACAGAGTTTTATTTTCAAGTAATTCAATGCATTGAAAAGAATTACAACAGAGCAATACTTAGTTTAGATGACAAAGCCGCTTCGTTGGCTGTGGACAAAACGCTTGATAATTTTTCAAWKTTAGCGGCACTTTTAGCTGAACAAGATAGATTTAGTTTTACTTTWCAAGACCTAGAAAACCTAAAATTAACAGAAAATGAATTATTGTACATAAAATCTAGCAATCTTATATTTTGTTATCCTGTTTCAAGTAATAGTTTGCCATTTCAAAAGCCAACKTKTGAATRTAGCTTCACGCACTTCACCATTCAAGAGTTTTTTGTTGCTCGRCATTTGGTAAAGAAAGGTGTAATGGCGGCACCAGAAACCACTGAAATGGTGTACACATTCATGAGTGGTTTGTTAGGTTTAAATAATAATAACATGTTAATGCTAAAACTATTAAAATGTCTAGGTAAACATGTAAAAAGTAAATACAGACTAAGGCTGATATCATTGCGATGCCTGCACGAGTTTGGTAAAGACAAAACTTTGACAAGAAAAGAACTGACTACAAATCGTGACTACAGATATTGGCATCGTGATGGGGGAATTGTATTAGATGGTGTAACCGACACGGACTGTGCAGSAATCGCTATGCTAGTAGAATYCACTGCTACATCAATATCATCACCACCAGACACATTATACATTCAATGGTCACCGATAACCAGTACCGGGTTAAAGAGATTGCTGCCATCTCTAAATCATCCAAACTGCGCAATCACTGGACTGTCGATGCTGTTTTGTGGTWTGAATGATGAACGCCTAAAGTGTTTGTGTGAGGATTTAACAAAGACAAAAATAACCAAGCTAGACCTGAGTAGTAATAAAATAACCGATCGTGGAGTGCATCACATCATGGAACACTTTCCAAGTAATCTCAACTGCCTAATCCTTTATGGTAATAAAATATCTGCTGAGTGTAAAGAGAGAACTAGACAATTCTGTAGGAATAAATATCCTGGTGTTAGGTTATGATTCATAGATTAGATAATTCAATGTTTGACTCTTGTAGAGTTTATATAGTGATACAAGTAAAACTAAACACAACAAAAAGCACAGCAAACTATTTATTCATCATTTCTTAGTTTTCCACAATTCCTTGCATATTCTTTTGTAAAAACATAAGCTTATATCAAAATATACATTTTATAAATTTGTATAATTTTGTAGCTGATAGAATTTTTTCAGTTTCATGAAGACATGAAAAACTTTATCAATAAGATTTTTTCTCTAGGGTTAATACATTGTACATAGTTGTAGAATATAATATAGCTCGATGGTACAGTAAAAATACAATATTTTTTTCTAGTTTGGTATTTCTCTGCTTAAATATAATTGAACATGGATTTAATGTCTTTTTTTCTTTTCTTTTTAATATTGGACTAAAATAACCAAGGTTTGGTTAAGCTACGACAGAAATATTAAGCTTACATCTCCATTGCTCTTTTATGTTTAATTGAAAATTTGGTA